AAGTGCTCTAGTTTTGACGAGAAAAGGGGTATGAAAGAAATTATCCATACTAGTAAAAACTGTGGTTGCGGGGTTTTTTTTGTAAGTGATGCTGTAAAAACTCAAGTGACACTTCTTCCTACAGATAGCAGTAGAGAAATCAAGCAACAATAAACATTGAAACAGTAGCACAACCTTGTAGACAGACCTCTTTTTTCCCTGTTAAAATGGAAACGAAGTGTAATCTCAGACATTATCAACTATCGGAATAATGCTGGTATCCTGCTAAAAGCCAGGGAGTGGAGCTGGTTGGCATTTGGAGCTGTTGCACGCTGTAGAGTTGTTCCCTATTTTTTTTGGAGGCTCTGCTTAAAAGACCACGCTTGACTTTTCTAGAAGGGCTAAAAGGCAACCGAGTGCTTTCAGCAATGAAATTTTGAGGCTGTGGGTCGCTCGCTAAAACTACCTGAACACCTCCAAGCCATGTGAAAGGTGTCTTCTTACCGTGGTCCTTGGTTTAACGCTTTTGTTCGCTTTCTGTACCCCTCTTTTGTCGACCTCAAGCACCATCAGCAGTGTTGGTCCAGGACTTCTTTTCTTTGAGAAAGTTCCCTTTCTCTCCCCATGGAGCTGAAAGAGGAAATTCGTGAAGACTTGCAATTTTAAAAGCAAAATCGGGCTTTTTTGTTTTCTGTTTGTACCATACTAAACAAGATGGGATCTGGCCAGGGTTGTTATAGTAACTACTAAGATTTCCTCAAGAGAAGGAGAAAAAAATAGAACACAGACCCATTCATCTATTACTTCCAGTTTTTCATTCAGAGTTACATGCTGTTCTGTGTAGCTAATTCGCAAGGCGCACAGCGTAGGTAATTTCAGTGACAAAACCACATACCAATAACGAGCACAAACGGCTCTCCAGAATGCTGGGCTGGCAGCCCCGGGTTATTTTCCAGCTTTGGAGGCAAGAAGGGTTGTCCTCCCTAGATCTGCAGGCATTGGTCACTCAGCTGCCTGGCTTTTCACCCCTGGATTATCAGGCTATCTAAAATATTATACAATTATATTTTATTGATACTCATGCTAGGTAATAGCTTTTTCCTTGTATGATATTTTTAAGCAGCCATGAGGCTGATAGAGCAAGGAGCTATCAGAAACAAGAAGCTCGCATCCCGTCGTGATCTGGTATGATTACTTCTCTGGAGAGGTTGGAAATGCCTGAAGCGGCCTAAAAATCCTATTTTTTTTTTTTTTCTCATGCCTGCAATGCTTCATAGTTTTCCACTGATCAACCAACATTCTGAACTGGTCTTTCTTTGTAGTTGGTCATTCCAGCTACAGAGCCCTGAGGATCTTGCAGAAATTTGAGCCTGCCCGGAAGAGCATGGCCATGCGTCCGTGCCGTGGGGTTTCATCCCATGTGCCTGTTTCTCCAGGTCAGCTTTTCTTCTGTGTGAGACCTTCAGCCCTTCTGGAGGAGCAGTGCATCACCCAGCGCCGGTGCATCCCTAGAAAACAGCATCCTCATTCATAGCTCCAATGTCAAGAGGACTTGGCTGAAATGATAAGGACTCATTTCTCTGTCTGGGATGTTGGATATATGTGGAAAAGTTTGACCAGTGACTGGCCTTATCCACTGAATTATTCAGGATGTACTTGCTTATGCTCCTAAAGAATGCAAGCTCCTTCCAGGCAAGGGCTCACGTATTCACTCTATCACTTGCATATTGTTTTTTATTAAGGTAAGTTTAAATTTTAAGACAGATTTAGGGTATGTATGCATAAAGGAAGGGAGCTAAGACACCCACATTTTTGTTGCTATATACAGCTTGTCCATTGTCTTTGTGGGTGAGAGCGGTTTGGTTCAAGCAAGCAGCTGGAAGAGAAATCCCCTGAAGATCGCTAAATCCATGGAGACCTCATCTGCCTTGGCTGAAGGCAGCGGGAGCCTGGGAAGGTGCTGAGGGGAGATGTTATTTCTGCTTGCCGCCTTCTTGCGTTTCCCTGCGCGCCTGCTTGTGGCCACTGTTGGATAAAGTTTGAGTTGAGTGGATGGTGTTTCTGAACCAGTAATGAAAGCGTGCCTACGTGAAGTCGTTCTCTGAGTTTTGGGGGTAAGGCAGGGTGTTTTCATAGCCAGGTTTTTCGGTGAAATGGGTGATTGGCTAGCCTTTGAAGAAGGGGGAAGGTTCTTGAACACACTCAATCCTCCTTCGTCTTTATTACTCTTGGTAAAATCTGTAAAAACCGATGAAAATAGTTTTCTGATCTTCCTAATTGCCCCCAAAAATGGCAACAGAAGAGCAAAAGAAAGAGCTTGCACCTAGCACTAAAATATAGTCCAGTTTTGGCCTTGAATGTCTTTGAGATCCTTCATGCTCTCAACGTAGCCTTTGGGCCAGGGAATGAATGCACCAGCAGTTGAGGACGATGCCAAAATCTGTGAGTGGATCCAAGTCCCATCTGGTGAGAGAAGTTCAGAGCAACTCTGGGAGGTCCCGAGCAAGTGGCGTAGAACGGTTGGCAGCTTTTTCTGCAGGGCCATGTCAGGCATGGAGCGTGGGACAGGCTGAGCCAAAGAGGGAGCCAATTTCAGGACAACACACCCAGAAATAGGGCAGAAACCAAAAAAATGATCACTTGTTACGTGTGTGTAGTGAACTTTGGGCTGGTAGCACTGACCTCGGCGTTAGCACCCAACACGAACAAGCCCCACCTCTGAGCCCACATTTTGCCAAGAATATGCAGGTTTTTGCAGAGTTTGTTGCTATCTGATGCTAAGCCTTGTTTGGCGTTGTCGTGCAGACTCCCCACTTCAGCTGAGTAGCTGCTAATCAATGCGAGAATATATAAAAATATGTAAAATACTGGGACTGGAAATAATGTAGTGCTGATGATGTGAGCTCGGCCAGTGTAATAACGGTCATGGATCCGATCCCACCCCTCTTGCTCTGCAAAGGGAAGGAATTGCCACTATTCCATGCGTCCTGCGTGTTGAATGTTCTGAGGACAATAGTCATTCATTAATTGCTGCTTTCAGGTTGGCGTAGCTGCTAGCGCTTCCAAGGAAACAACAAAGTACTCTTTGATGTTTGCATGAAAGGGAGGAAAGTAGTTTCCCTGCAACCGATCCCATGGACGCGAGCTCGTAATGAGCTCAGGGACGCTCGCCTTATTTACGGGAGGGTTGTGAGAGCGGAGCTTGCAGTGGCCCACCACTAAAACCACAGGGCTTTAGATGAGCCACCATCACACTACGTGGGATTTTAGACAGGATATTCCGTATTTATGAAATGTCCCCTGGCACTAATGTTAGAGAAGCTGCCAAAACAAGGGAGCTGGTGCAGAAATGTCAAACCGAAGTCGATGTTACTCATCTGGATGACAGATAACCTGCAGGAGGCTTTTGAAAGCGTTTAGCTGAGTGATTCCTTTGGCTTCAGCTGTTTGGGAGCCACTACTTGGTGATCTGGTGCTTTCTGCAGGCTTGGAGAAGCAGATTTAACCCCACCGAAGCTGCTCTTTATAGCCTGACCTGTTCCTCTTTAGCCTGGACAAATCAAAGAATCCTTCTACCTCTCTACTTCTGCCCTGTGTGGGTTTTATTTCAAGAAATAAACATATAGAGTGTGTATATATAGACTATATATACTATAATATATACATACACACTCTAGAATATATATAGAGAGAATGCGCTAGATACTATATATACTATATTATATATATATACACTATAATATATATACACACACACTCTAGAGTATTCTCTCTATATATACTCTAGAGTGTGTATGTGTATATTATAGTACATATAGTCTATATACACACTATATTTCTTGAAACTATTACATATATATTTCTTGAAAGTATCATATGTATACATAAACTTTGGTTCAACTGCAGAACACTATTTTGTATTTCTCTATGATTAACTCTTCTGGGAGTAAATTGATGATTCTGACAGGTTGGTAGCGTGGCTTAATGCTCCTGTGATCCCCTGAACGCATGGAATGTCTTTATCTTGCTATTTTATCACACTGTGAGGAAGATCTTTATTTACACATGCATGTATTTGAGTCGCTGGATTCCAACTTGAGGCGCACCGGTGACAGACTTTGGTAATTTTAGAGAGAACGTAACCGGTTGCGAACGCCCCGTCTCAATGAGTGTGTAACAGGCGCCGTAAAAAAGCAGCGCAGGTCAGCGGTTCGGCGTAGTGGCACTCTGGGATCCACCTGAAGTATCTGAAAGCATCGTGGTGTTTTGGATAAATTAACTTGACTTGAACTGCCATGCAGAGTTACAAAGCGGTGCCGTTAGCGTTGCCTCGCGTGCCGTTAAACGCTGGGTCCAGTGGAGTTGCTCTTCTTCCCTCGGCTGTGCTGCCATCGGGCTGAAACTTGCCGCGCTGTAACTCCTCGGTGGGCGCTGGCTTCTTAGTGGTGATGCTTAATATGTGCAGGCTTCGACCTTGCTCTTCCCTTCAGCTGTACGTCCCCAGTATGCGTACTGGGAGCAAAGCCAGGTCTTCGAACTAAGCTGTTTCCCTGTTGACATCACGGGGCGATATTAATCTGAGCGTTGGCATGGAGTGGTACCAATGTCTTGGATGGGAATCCCTCACTGCACCTGTATGTATCTGTTTTGTCTTAAACTCTTTTCTACCATTAAGAGAGAACTCGTTCACCTCCAGGATTTATCAAATCTCTGGGACCACGTTGAAGACTCTCCAGTTTTTACAGTGTCTTCTGTAAATGCATTGCGAGGGGGAGTTTTTTTGTATTTTCTCTTTTGTTTCTTCCTCTGCACCGCTTCTGCAGGCAGCAGGGCTGTGCCAACCAGCAAAACAAGTGTCCATGCAGCCTTTTTTTTCATTTTATTTTTATATCGTACAGGTAAAAGGACCCATAAGGGTTGCACAAAAGAGGGTGTAATTCTGTGACTTGTATTCATTGCTTTCAATAAAACGGTTCGGTGCAGGACAAGCGTTGCAGACCATGCTACTGTTTTATTTGCAGAGCCGTCTGAAGGAAGCTGTGCAGTTGTTGGAGGATTACAAGCATGGGACTTTGCCCCCGGGAGTCACCAACAAAGAGGTAAGAGGAAAAAGCCTTTTGTTAAATTCCTACTTCTTCCTGCAGTCTGAAGGAGGGTGGATGGGGTGGCATTTTAGGTTGTGCCTACAGTCAGATGCACTACTGCAGGGCTTTTTTGGTATTTCTACCAGTAAAAACCCCTACCAGCGCCTTTCAGTCGATTGCTGCCTTCTGCAATGTCGCTTCTGGTCCCTTGCAGCTCAACTGCTGGTGTGTTTGAGTGAACTTGGCTTGTTCTGGAGTTCCCATGTTGTAAACGTTGCTGAGCAGAAGTGACAGCAAGGGGCTTGCAATACAAACGTCCAAGTTTTTTATTTAGAATAAGTGGAAAGTTTGGGGTTTGTGACTTGCAGAGTCACCCGTTACCTTTGGCCAATGCTATTGCTTCCCTTTCCATTGCAAAGTGTGCTTGTACAATTAAAAAAAAAAAAAAAAAAAGTAATTTTCTTTTTTTAGCTGAAGGAAACTTTGCTGTCGGTCCTGGAGGTTCTTGTACCAGCAACTGCGATGCATCAGCCCCCTCTCCTACTGTGTTCCCGTTGTTTATAATAATTGCCATAATTGCCGTTCTTTCACTGAAATAAATATTCTTTGGACTACATATAACCCCCTGGATGTCCCCACGTTGTAGATGTACCGTCAGTAGTGGTCCTTTTTGCTGGGTGCTGTTCCTGCTGTTGGGATGGAAGCTGAAGGAGGTTGTGGAAACCCCACTGGTGTGAAGGTCATAGCGTGGTTGGGGCTTTAGTTGCTGAGAAAAGGGTCATTTTTTGGTAGAACTTGATTCTGCTTTGGGATGGGCTGGGTGATCTCTCCAAGACCCTGTCAGTCCCGTTTTCTGGACTTCTGTCTGATATTTCTCTATGTGAACAGATAAAACTTGTGAAAGCAGAGATGAATATTGCAAAGGGGCTAGGCTGCTTTTTGAGCCTTTTGCCTCCAAATCAGTAGCGTGGAACAAAAATCATCAATTTTTTTTCCTGTGGGTATTATCTCAGACTCTTTTCCTTATCTGTCCGTGTGCAGACACCTGACCGTAACACCAACACGGGCTTTTTTGTGGTATGTGTTTGTGCATCGAGCACAAAAGGCTTCAGTCTTAATTTACTGTAATATAAAGAACGGCGTGAATCGGTTGGCAGACCTGCTTCAGGAGCCATAGGAAGCGGCCGTGCCAAAGGAGCAGTGCACCTCCCAAGTGAACAGTGATGGAAACGGTAGAGAGCTCTTCTCCCACGCCCTGTGGGTCAAGTAATCCACCCCCAATTTTTTTTCCCCCTGTTCACCTGTTATAATTTCTTCTCATGAAAGACAGGTATAGCAGGTAAATGAAGAAAACTGAGCTTTGCATTCACTTTCCGAAAGTGGCTCCTTGTGTGATAGGCGCTGTGTTGGGACAGCAACATGGCTTCCACAAAAAATAAATGGGGACTATCGCCTCCCTGCGTGATGTGCGGTACGAGGCGTTGCTCTCTTGGTCTTCTGATGTCACTGCATTCTTTCAACCATAATCCCATGGTAAGAAAACAGAAACCGGGCTTGAGGAAAGGAGAAAAGCAGAGGGTGATGCAGCAGCAGATGACTCAGTTCCCATCTGCCTTCAGGCAGATGAGGTACAAGTCATTCGCTGTGGCAAACCACGCAGGCTTTTGACCTACATTTGGGGTTTGCGTAGTAACAAACCCAGGATATGCCCAGAGTTCATTCCCAGTCGCGGTTAGAGGGAGCGGACAAAACTATCGCGCGTCTCATTTCCCTCAGTCACGACAGCAGCTGCGGGAGGTGAACCTCAATAGGTATGGGGCAGAGGAGGAAAGGGAAAATGATGCCAGAAAATGCCTTTCCTAGAGAAATGTTAGCACATAGGTGTAAAAAATAATATTTTTATAGTAAAATCTTGACATGGTTTGCTTTGATCACAGTGTCAATTACGTTAGAGGGGTTTATGTAGTTTTGCTGACTGTAGGATAAAGTAGATCTCCCAGGAGATCCCTGGGGTGGAATTGCAGCATGTGGTTGTTATTTCTTTAAATACACTTTTGCTGCATTAATTAAACCAAACGGCAGAGAGAGGTGAGCAAGCCCTGAGTAGATCCCATGAAGGCTGAGAGACTTGAACGTTCACCCAGGCTACTGCGAGCCCTCTAAAAAGGGTAAAGATGGAAGGGACCCGAAAGCAGATGACAGTCGGTGCACGTGGGCTGCAGCGGGACAGGAGCAACCACAACTTATGGAGCAGCCGAAGGTGCCTTGTTAATCTGGAGAAAGGGTCTGTGAAGGCAGCAGGTCCTTTTTCACTCCTGGAGTTGCCTGGTTGTAATGAAATGGGAAGTTGAGGTAGCAGGGGTAAGTTGGGCAATAAACGCCAAAAATGCTGTCTGACACTCTTGCAATCCATCTGGGTGAAGGTGAATGGGAACTTCTGACTGGGTTAATTGGGAGCTGCCTAATGATGATGGGCTGGCCACCTCTTGGGCCATGGCGGTGATGTTCCTCGTGGGGCACCTGAAAACCCTTTGGTCTGAATCCTGCTCTTCTCCCAAGTGTGCTCTTGGGTGGACTTGAATAAACTGCTTGCCTGCGCATGGTTGCAGTGAAGCAGGTGAAAATCTTCAAAATGTGGCTGTTGGTTATCTCTTGTGAGAGCAAAAGATGGGGGAATGGGGGGAATATCTTTATCCTCTCAACCAGAGCCACCAATTTAGAAAAAAACTTCTCCTGTAGGAGGGCATTACTTTGCAGTTTTAAGCTGTGGAATTGAAAACAGCAATTAATCATTGCACGCGTTTCTTCTGTGCTTTTCTTATGTGCTTTTCGCATCAGAGGTGATCTTTGCAGTCTTTTGTTGACTTTCGTTGTTCCCATCCCCTGCGGCATCTTCTTGTCGTGCAGCTCACATGGTTCCATTCTGCCTTTGTGTTTACGGCTGCGCCGCAGTCGCAAAATAGCGCTGAGCTTCCAGCTTTACCGGTGATGACCATTTCTACCAAAGAACCAAAATGCCCAGATGATCTGTAGGAACCTGGGGTTTCACTGCATGCTAAGGTTGTGGTGAGATCGGGCGCTGGGTACTTCTCATCTCCATCACCCAAATGCTCTCCTTCTCTGAGAGGGAGAGGAAGATCTAACAGTTCACTGCATGCTAAGGTTGTGGTGAGATCGGGCGTTGGGTACTTCTCATCTCCATGCACCCAAATCTGAGGGAGCCAGGGCTGTGGTTGCTGTCTCTGCGTGGAGGACATAGGGCTGGACGCAGCTCTCGGTGTCTGCCGTGAAACTTGCCCTCTGAGCATCGGTTGTTTTCCGACTCTGGGGGCAGAGGGGAAGGTGGAGGGGAGCGTGCGGGGAGCTCTGGGTAGCTGGCAAGCTTGCCAGTGCTGAATTAAGTGCGAGTGTGCCAGATATATACAGCTGTAAGTGTCTCATTAATTACTGGTGCATTTGCAGAACATACGATGTGCCAGTTGATTGCTTTGGGGGAGGGGAAGCGTCTCACTTGCATAGATATCACCCCAAATTTTCTACCGGTGAACCAAAGATGCCTGGAGAATACATTTATTGCTTTCCTAAAGCTAAGCTTTACCATTTTCATGGCTTTTCTGTGCACCGCTATCTGCAAGACGGACTCTGGCTACACGGCATTAACACTCTGCAGTTGTTCTAGTGCTAATTTGGGAAAGGGATTCAATGCAGCTTTGGAGAGGTGCCCAATTGTGGCTCACATGCATGGGTTGATGTTGGAATAAAAGACTGATCCGTCTGATGTTTTACATCGCTGATAACCGAGTGTCACACACACCTCTGATGCACTGATGGAGTTGCCGCGTGCTGGCAGAGGACCAGCAGATGAGAGGTAATTTGATTTTTGACCCATTTATTTATTTTTATATTTTTTCTTTATCCCTCTTTGACTGGGAGCAGAGCTAAACACCTCGTGTTCACTGTGGGCAAGAAGTGGATGCTGGAGCCGTTACTTGGCTCAGCTGACGTGGTAACGCAATTGTATCCGAGAGAGGCTAATTTGCTGTTATTACTCATCAAAAAGGCTGGGTAGAACTTCACGTGATGCCCAGGAGAGAAGCGCTCAGCTTTATCTTCTTTGTTTAAGAGCTGATTCAGGTTTGGTTGCCAGAGCCCCTTAGAGATGCAATTGCTACCCTCATACCAGGCTCTTCAGGCATGGCCTGGGTATGGCACGTGCATAGAAGAAACACCTGGATGGTCCTCTAGGCTTCATAGTCAGAATTAAAATCAACCTTAGAAGCCTCTAAAAATAACAGTTTGGGCAGAGTTTTAATGCATTAGCTTTCTAAGAACCCAACACCCCCCCCCCAAATATCAGCTCTGAGATCAAGAAGACAAGTTGTTTTGACAGAGTTGTTTCACTAATCTCCTGACTGATCCACTTCTGTGGTACGGCGCGTTTGACAGTGCTCAAATTCCTGTTTTTTTCCCTCATTCAGAAATCCGTGGTTCTCATGAAGGATGGCAGGCAGTAGCTGAAAGCATAACAGCAGCTCGGCACAATCTATATCGCTTGCTGAAATGGTTTCGCCACATGAAAAATGGAAAATATAAAAGCCTAAAGCTATGTAACGTCAAGTATCTCCTGCACACTTATCTTCTTGACAGGGTTCTTGTAAAGCAAGTCTTTCTCTTCCGCATTTTCGGAGCAGATTTTTCAAGATGAGCTGAAATGGAACAATTATGGACTTTCTAAAGAAAAAAAAAAACCCTCTGAAGAGCCATAATCATCTAAAGCAAAAAAACCTCTGAGGAGCCATAATCTTTTCTCCAAAGGACTTTGCTCCAGTTCCCCATGACCATCTCTAAGCCAGTTTCCAGCACAAATGCGGCTTTGCTCCAGTTACTGGCTGTGTGAGATGATTCATGGACACCAACACCGCCAACGCCTACACCTCTTCCACCTTCAGGTCTCCCACACTCATCCCCTAGCTCTTGCGCTTGCTCTTGAACTGGAGTGATTTTACCGCTCAGGA